CCTTATGACAGTTTAGCATGGGGGGGTTTTGCCAGTAGTTGCCACACTTGGTGGGTGGATTGCAACCACAATTTGGCTTTTGGTACCAGTATAATATTTTATTTGGTATTTGGTAATATTTGAAGAGGGACGCTATTGCCTATCTCGCGATGGTTAAGTCCCCTTAGTCGCCTCTTACGACACCCACGGGAAAGGAAATGATTTTTAAGCTAAGGTCATAATAAAATAATTTAGATATTATTAAATAAATGTCCGGGAATATTGAATTGTTGAAGTGATTTGTTGAATGGGCGAAACAGTATGTATGTGTGTACTGTTATATCCATGGTACTGCTCATGTGCATAGGCGACGGTTACCACTTTCCATCAGGTGGGCCGTTAACTTGTTTGCCATTCTAAGTTGTATGAAAAAAAAAGAACTTGAAAATATATACCCAGATATCTAATTTCCAAAAGTAGTAAGATTCCATAAATGTCTTCATATACCATTTTAATTAGTTTGATTATTTTATTATATCTATTTTTTTTTTTGCACATTATTATTATTATTATTTAACGGGAATTAAAAAACATTTTCTTACTTTCATTTTCTATGCTAAGTTATGAAAAAAAAAAAGATTAAGTATTAGATAATGAACTTGCAAACTGCGCTGGGATGCTAATTAGAGCACAGTTCAACAGTTATTCCGGCGATATGTCGGTGCGTTTGTGTCTCGATCGCGGTCCTGCATCATTTGATGTGCGGTAATTTGTTGTTGGATGCGCGGGCGCAGGCGGGCGCGGCGTCCGTCGCGTCGCACCGCCGGCGCGGGCACACAAAGACGCAGTTTTTACATGCATGTATGACATATTTGGAGTAATTAACAGAAATACGCCCAACAGCGGAACTTGTGTAACGTTTTTGTACAAGTTTTAGATTATGTTCCCGTTAGCTACTGCATTTTTATTGGTGTCATGTGGTGTTTTGGGGTGGATTATGTGTCTACTGTGTCCTATCTTTTTTTGAGGACCATCCTTCCTCTATTTAAAAAGTTTCACAGACAGTCATACAAATAATTATTAGATAAAGATCCTGGTATATGACATATTTACTTTTATTGCAACTTAGAACGATAAGACAAAGTTAATACCTCTCCATTAAATTATACCAGATAGAGAGGCCCATTCTGAGGCTCAATTTCTCTAAGAACCGACAACCAATGGAGAAGAAAGGTTCTTGAGTGGTGACCTCGTACAGGTAAACGCAGTGTAGGACGGTCCCCAACTAACTAGAAGGAGTGACGACCTGAAATGCATTGCATGTTGCATGCAGGTGATGCAGGTTACTCATGGCCGTTCTTTATGGCAGTCTATGGGAGAGGCCTATGTCCAGCAGTGGACAGATTATGGCTGAGATAATGATTATGATAATTTCTGTAAACCTATTTCTAATTTATAAGTTTTGTGTGTATTTTATTTTATTACTTGTGATGGCCCATTATTAACTAAATTTATAATAATTTCACATAAATCTATTAGAAACTAGCTGTTTTCCACAGCTTTACTCGCATAAATCAGTATATACAGTATCCTATGTACTAAGTTAGGATATATCCTACGAAATTTCATTCAAATCCATAGTAGTTTTTGCATGAAAGTGTAATAAAATAACCATCCATCCATTTATCGTTACAAACTATCGTATTCATTATATTAATAGGATTTATTCAGGAGATTTTGTACAAAATTCGTTTGTTTGGGTACCTCTGTCCCATTCGTGTTTCAACCGTGAAGCAGTTGTGTTTGCATGGCTGGGTGTTTCGATTTGAAGGGTGGGATATGGCGTGAATTTACAGGGTACAGAGGAATAACACCCGAGTTCTTAGAAATGGCAACGCATGGGGGGTATCACGGTCGAAACAGTATACTCTGTTATGTCCATGGTGCTGCTCATGTCTATAGGCGCCAGTTACCACTTTCCATCAGGTGGGCCGTCAGCTTGTTTGCCATACTAAGTTGTATAAAAAAAAAAATTTTATTCATACCAATCCTTCGAACAAAAAATACGGTGCTATATGAAATTTTAATTTTAGAGATAAGTAATTCTAGGTGATTCAGAATCGACCCCATTACAGTAGTCCTTAATATTCTTAAAAATGCCAAAAAAATCTTTACCATCTTTCGAGAGGCTTAAAGAACTCATAGTTCATAAATATTTAAAATAACAGAACAGTAACCAAATACCTTTTATTTTATGGAACCCCAATATCAAATAATTATTTCTCAAACATGCTTGGAAATGTGAGCATTATTTTGACAATCTTCTTAGAGATAAATCAAAATTGCCGTACTGGCCAGATACATGCGGGCAGCGGCCGGCAAAAGTTGTATGAAAATCCATATCTGTCTGTTTTGCGGGCAGATAAATTACTATGTAAACTCATATCTGTCCTGTAATTTAAAAATGGAATGACCTTTTACTTCGAAACATGGCTACCAAGGAGTTAACTAATACAAGGTTTTATTTAAATTTCGAACTAGCTTGCAAATAGAAAGCTGTTTATTGAAAAAAAAAAATAAAGGAACATTATGGCACGTGAAAAATTATTATTGTTCGTTATTCGTCATTGAACTTAAAAAGTAAAAATTGTGTTTTTGATTTCCGCGCATTGTTTGAGAAAAGTACTATACAAGCCTTGGCCACAACTAGGCATTGATGGACTCACGTATGTGTGCCTCGGCTATACCTCGGCCCACATTTGCACGTTCGTCCATCAATGCCTCAGTTGCTGGCCGCTACAATAATGTACTAATAAATCAAAAACACTGTAATTTATATAACAATAAAAAACTTTTATTAGAATTTTTTTTAAAGTAAAACACTTTATTTTTTAACTTTTATATACCTATATGATTTCATAATAATATTTGTATTTACTTTGTGGTTATTTTTAACAGCTAAAAATAAATATCTGTGGAACCTTTTCCAGGTTATGAGATTGTATGTCACATATACTATGAAGATTCAAAGTGCTGAGAAATACATAAGCAAACAAACTAATGATTTTTAATTAGACAATGTTACCTACTACAGATGGACGGATCATCTAAACATTGTACCTATTGTGGGAAAGATGATATGGTCAGAATGGGAGTGAATGTGGAAATGATCTCATATTGAGAAGAACGAAAGAGAAAAACATATTACGCAGACCTCAAATAAATTATTGGGATATATATTTTTTTTATACAACTTACGAGTAGAATGGCAAACAAGCTGACGGCCCACCTGATGAAAATGTGAATGATGTTTTTATATTCTAGTTTGACATCCATATAAAATCTATGTGAAAAAAAAGTGTGAAAAACTCAGAACAACTGAATTATTAATCGTATTTTTATAAAAGAATTTAGCGGAAAAACTATTTCCTGAATTTTATTAGTAAATAACTTTTGTAATTTCACGATAAGTTTTTATCATGTAGAGACAGATTGTAACAAAACATAACTAGATTCGAATGGGCATTCTAACAGTTCCTTGAAGAAACATAGACATAGTCATTACCAACTTTAAACTATGTCTAACTGAGAGTGCCAGCCTTGTAGACAATTTTTTTTTATTTATTTATGTACACTTTATTGCACCATTTATAAAATAGTAAACACATTTAACTGTAATAAGAAATGATACAAAAGGCGGCCTTATCGCTAAGCAATCTCTTCCAGACAACCTTTGGGTAGAGAACATTGAAAAAAGAAAGAAAAACAAAGGGTAGGTGGCGCACTATTATATATAAACAAATATATACAAAGATACATATATATGTATATACATATATATACATAAACAAATAAATACATAAACTTAAAAGTACACATACAACAGGAGAGTGACGCTGGAAGATGAAGATAGAACATGGAAAAATAGTTACTTAGTTAAAGGGAGAGATAATGGACTTTCACAGAGGTTTTGAAGCTAGCGAGAGATTGAGCGCACCGAATAGAGGTAACATTGTAACGTTATAGATACCGATGCTGGGCTAATTAATGAATAGTCAACTGCACTCTTGCACATAGTTTTAGGTAATGAGTATTCTTATACTAATTAAAATATTTAAGGACTTTACTAAATAGTATGTATGTCGTATGTAGATCTACAAATAAAGATCACCCTCACACCTTAAGCCTAAATGGTCGCGTACAACGCGGTTTCAGAGATGTTTCCTCCCACGAACACTCAGGTTATGGAATGAACTCCCAGCCGAGGTTTTCCCAAGGGACTACAGCATGGTAAAGAGGTTTCTTCAGGGGCGGCAACGCGCGCGTAATACCTCTGGTATTGCAGGCGTTTATAGGCTATGGTAACCGCTTACCTTCAGGTGGGCCGTATGCTTGTTTGCCACCTCAGTGGTATAAAAAAAAAGATACATAGATACGATTGAAGACCTTAAATACCTAACTACTATACATACTAACTAGGTAGTTTAGCTATATAGTATTAAGTAGGACAACTCTTTTAAAAACTGTGATGATTAGATACTTGGAATCAGTGCTAAAACAACGCTTACATCACGAAATTGTTATCACAAACGTAATTGAAAATTAAAACAACACGCTCTCCGGATCAAATTAACGAACATAAAAAATCAATTACAACGCGACATACACGGCGGTCGTAACAGCCAGTACTTACACAAACACATACACAAACTAGATTGTTTATACATAGTGCTCCCACTGGCCATGCTATGTGCACGCAGCCTGCCTACTCGAGCGGGACCGCTTCCTCAGCTCTCGTCGCGCCTCCGGCCGAGCGCAGCCGACCGAATGGGAAAACAGACATTTCTATACTGCCTTAATATACAATACTGGACCCTACCCGTAAAGAGTAAGGTTGAAAATAGGGTGATGAAATTTGAGGACGCATCAACACGCTTCAAATAGGACGCGACATGGAAAAAGGAAAGCGTTCGAAATGAAGCGCGGCGATTGGCCGACGCGCACCAATGGCGGCGGAAGGCGGGCCGGCGCATAGATCGCTGGCGGGCAGCTGCGCCGGCGCACATGTCACATCACAGCCGCCCGGGCTGAGGTGAACGTGCCGACGCGATCTCATGCGGTCTCTCATCTCCGGTTGCGACGAGGTTTCGTTGTGGGTCTAGTTGGGGTATGTGTGGTGTGGATGTGCCATGATGCTGGGCGGCATGGATGGCAAGGAGTATGGTGCGCTGCACGCCGCAGCGGCTGCCGCCGGCTACGCTATGGATGCTAGTGAGTGGAATTCACGTTTGATTTCTAACAATATTATTTTCACCAACTTTGTAAACTGTAAAAAATATATGCGGACCAAAATTTGGTTATTTCTAAATATTAAATATATTAGGTACTTTTCGGAAAACACAACCCACGTTGAAATATCGTCTATAAAAATCAGGTATATTTACCTGTAATCGAGTACCGTTAAGTTCCCGTTGTGAAAATTTTAAATGTGTAAACAATGCGAAAGTATTAACGTAAAAGTATTACTACAAACATCAAATAAAAAGAGCTTTAGATTCGCCTATGTTTTCCTAATCTTAGCAATTTAAAAGATTCCGCTTGTCAGGCGGGAATAATTATTTTATTGAAGTTTTCATTAGTTACCACATTTGATTCCTGTCATTTCCTCCAAAGAGCGCTATCACAACTATTATCTTTGACTTCCTTAAGCACAGCTATACTTACAATTGCTTCATACAATGATATTTTTAGTCTCTTCCAAATAATTACTCCCAGAATTGTTATTTGATTTATATGATCTAATATAGAGCTTTCAATTATTTCAATTCATTTCCTTACTGATATTTTATTATTTGCTTTTTTAATATCTCATTTTTTTTTTATTTCTCCGTGTTTCTCCTTTCCATTCTCCTCCACCATTATTTCATATACTTCAAACAACTGTCTCTTTCTCATTTTAGTTACGCTTCAAACATTTTTTTCTTTATGCTATTGGTTTTACCTATATTCACTCTCTCTTAACTCTTATTTACTTTTCTCAGTAGGTCCTACCTACGTTCTAGTCCTTTAGTTTGGAGGACACGTAAAGCCGTCATCCGATCTTCTAGAAAACTACCCTAGAAACTATTGACACCAGGAGGCCAATTCTCGTTCATTCGAATGAATCACGAAATCGAGAAAAAGTTCGAATTCGAACATTTCTCGAGCGAAAATCATGTTACATTATTCTGGGTATGTCGATTTCGAGATTTCTCGAGGGAAGGCCAATCGATATGCTTCGAATGGTCGTGAGCACTCGAGACGGATATATATATATATATATATATATATATATATATATATATATATATATATATATATATATATATATATATATATATATATATATATATATATCAAACTTACTCTACAGCCGCTACTAAGTACGCCTAGTTTTTTATAAAGATCATGGTGCTTGCGTCCTCGGTGTAGGTATGTGGATATATTTGTTCTAATGTCTACTGATTTAACTCATTCTTCCGGTTTCTAAGTTTCTACAACTTTTAGTGAGGATAAACATTATGTATCTGCAAGTTACAAATGGTCTTTTAAATGGTCTTTTTTCATTCTCATCTATCACCCTTCACTGGTGCTCCGCCGGCGTATCCCGTTAGCGCAGGCGGGGTTACCATACCATTTTCACCCATCAAAAAAAAGACACGTTGTCATCTTCGCACGGGTAGATAGATTTTCGAAAATAATATAGGTATAGTTTAGGTTGCTCGCTGGTAATGTAGCTTTCTATTGGTGAAAGAATTTTTAAAATCGGTTGAGTAGTTGTTAGGTTTATCAATAATAAGTTAAATTTTAAAAAGGAAGACTACATACGTTGTGTTTGCATGGCTGTGTTTCGGTTTGAAGGGTGGGATATGGCGTGAATTTACAGGGTACAGAGAAATAACACCTGAGTCCTCAGGAATGGCAACGCATGGGGGGTAACATGGGCAAAACAGTATACTCTGTTATGTCCATGGTACTGCTCATGTCTATAGGCGACGGTTACCACTTTCCATCAGGTGGGCCGTCAGCTTGTTTGCCATTCTAAGTTGTATAGAAAAATACAGACTTACTATGAAATTTGATATAACACATTCTGTATGGGATGTAGATGGACATATGACAGGTACTTTTCATCCAAATCGCGCGGACGAAGTCGTGGATGAAAGCTAATAGTAGCTTGTAAACATAAGTAATATGCTTGACTAGAAAAGCTGGATGGGTGAAACAATATCTAAAGATAAACCAGTGATGCAATGATTTGCTATTCCCGATGACCCCCGTGTACCTGGCTGGCTGGTCAGACACGAGTTTATCGACAATTTACGTCACACCACTGACGCTCAATGATGTGACACTATCTATCAGTTTCATTAATAATGAACTGACCACCGTTTGGCACATGCCTCATTGAATAATAAACAACTTTAAATAAATCGAGATAATAAACTTTGTCTACAGTTTGACCGCTAAGGTGACGTATCTCGTTATTACATTGTATACTGAATTTATTTTGAGAAGTAGGTATCTACCATTGATTCCTATACCGGGACCTACCATTCACCGTGTAGGTCCTGGTATAGAATAGGCCACATCTTCCTTTCCCGTTGATATCGTAAAAGGAGACTAAGGAAGCTTGTAGTCGAGGGAACAGTCACTGAACTTAGCATACAGGGTATTTTTGTATACTGATTCATGCGAGTTAAGCCGCAAGACATCGCTAGTAATTAACAAAATAGTCTTTCATATATTAGCAAGCTCATACTATTTTTTTTTTATACAACTTAGAATGGCAAACAAGCAGACAACCCACCAGATGGAAAGTGGTAACCGTCGCCTATAGACATGAGCAGTACCGTGGACATAACAGAGTATACTGTTTCACCCATGATATCCCCCCATGCGTAACCATTCCTGAGGACTCAGGTGTTATTCCTTTGTACCCTGTAAATTCAGTGCTTACTTAGTAGTGTCACAATCTAAATTAGCATCTTTTATTTACGACAGACAATATTTGTTTATCTTTATTAATAATTTGAAATCCGATAAAAAACAAATTTTATACTACTGAAGTAGTCAATAGGCATACAGCTCTCCTAATTGTAAACTGTTACCCTATAGCCTATTAAAGCGTACAATATCCATTATCCAGTATCCAATATCCAGGATCTTTACGCGCGCCTTTCCAACCCTGAGAAACTTCTATACCGCTTTTTTTAAGAACCGCATGCTGTAGAGTCTCGAAAAAAGCTTGAAAGAGAGTTCATTTCATACACTGATCGTTAGTGCGAGGAAGCATCTCTGGAAGCTGAAATAATTCTGAAAATTATAAAGATTTTAAGCTGTTTAAAATTCTACCTTTTATATACCTAATAATATAATAAAACTTTATTAACAAATACAGGGTTGCATTGTTACAATTTTTTGCCCTAGATAGATAGATACTCTTTATTGTTTCCTCCAAAAGATTACAATAGTAAACTTATTATAAATATAAATAATTATAAGAAATAATCACAAGGAGAAAACATTACAAATTGGATTATTATGTCAGTAATTTTCAATAAAGTCGCATTATACATGCTCGTAATAGTAAGGAGCGCAAAGAAAAGATCGACCTATCACGTGACGCAGCTTGACTGTTCATGACCACACCCAATGTCGCACGTAATGAATCTGCTCTATTGCTCTCGTCTGTATCTCTTAAGAGATAGCATAGTGCCCTTGTGTAGGTAGCGCAGTTTTTTTTTAATGGATGATAATGGAATGGTAGCCCCACCCGCGCTATCGGTATACACCAGTGAAGGATGATAGGTGAGGATGAAGTAGGTCAGTTAGCAAATCGTGTCGAATTCAACAAGAATTGTTCACGATGCTTTCCAGGGGGGAACCACGTGGAGGTTGCCCTAATATTGCTAGCAATGGAGCTATCAAACTCCATTGCTAACAATCCCTTTCCCCCCTAGGTAGCGCAGTTGTATTATCAAAAAAGTTAATGACGTCACTTTAAATTACTTACTGATCGAAAGGGATTAAATAACACTAATGCCGTTATTATAATAGTATAGACTTTCGGAATGAACTAAGATTTATACTAACTAAGATATATATATTGTTCTTTTTTAATATTTTTCTGGACCTCATACTGAAAAAATATCTATTCACTGTCAACTAAAGAAAATAGAAACCAACAAAAAAATAGGTTACGCCTACATTCTAGATTACATTTCTCCAAAAACACGAACACAGGAAAAACCTACCATTCTCAATGTTATAGTTAGTTTAGTAAACACGTCGGCATTAGGGGGAAAGGGATTGTTAGTAATGGAGACTAAGAATCCCATTGCTAGCAATATACCCGACCAGGCCGATCTCCTCGCGGTTCCTCCTGGAAACTATCATGATTTAATTCCTGTGCTGACTGGCCCGTTTTCATTCTCATCTATCACCCTTCACTGGTGCTCCGCCAGCGTATCCCGTTAGCGCAGGCGGGATTACCATACCATTTTCACCCATCAAAAAAAAAAACACGTCGGCATTACGTGTTCACTAAACTTACTAGAATGTGAAAGAGAAGAAATGAGTGGTTTTAGATAAACAATTTAATGCCCAAAACGTGCAACATCATTTAAACTTTTACGTGAACGAAATTGGAGATTGAAAAAATTGCAACTTTATTTACTTGGTATAGGTACGTGAGTAGCTACTTACGAGTATATGATGTTATATAAGCGACACGTTATTATACAACATGTAGTCATAATATACATACTATAATTATATTTGGCAAATGATAACATTGTTATACCCTCCCAGCTATTATCTCTCAATCGGCAGCATGGCACAGTGACTATAGAATAAAAAATGGTATTGAAATAAAATTAATTGACTCATATTTCTTAAAAAAAAGATGTAAATATTATTCAATAAAACAATATCATAAAGAGTTTTTTTGTTTGTAATGGAAAAATAAAAAAAAAAATACTTTGCAGATTTTAAGAATTCTTTTACTAAGAATGTTACATTATTAGGGATTAATATGGGTTGTAAAAAAAAAACATACTATCTATGTTTTTTTTTTAATAAAATACAATACTTAATTATACGTGAATATAAAACTATATCTCGATGTATTACGCGCATCGATAACATAATAGGAGCCACGGTGTTTTTTTTTTAATGGGTGATAACGGAATGGCCCCACCCGCGCTATCGGTATACACCGACGGGGCACC